AAACCAGCCTGAACTGCACAGTGAGACCTTGTCTCAAAAAGACCAAAAAAAAAGAAAAGGAAAAAGAAAAGCTCAAACAGACATTCAATTGATAGCTTCTAGAATCCTGTAGAAGTATCCTGTGAATGGCTGAACTGGAGCCTACGTAGCAGCGATAAGATGATATGAGCAGTTGGGAGCAAGGAGTAAGGTTGATGCTCCCATCACAGATGTGACACTTATCGTGAGTGCTGAGAATGTCTCATTTCTAAGGATAATTCTCCCTTTTTGTCCTTTTCTTCAGGAAAATGCTCTTAAAAGAGCATTTTATCCAAAGGAAAGAGAAAACTCTGCTAGAACGCTGTGTCCATCACATACATCTCTTTGGTGGTCGGTATACAGGTTCCAGCACAGGCCTAAGAAACGCACGGGTCTTTAAGTACAGGATTAGGCCCCAGGAATCACCTCATTTTGTGACTCTGGAAATCAAATTACTCTAAGCCTTAGTTTTTGCATCAGAACTATGTAAGCCTGCCTTTCCCTTTTCTTTTTACATTAACATGTGAGGAGAAAATGCTTAATAATAATAGAATTAACTGCAGTGAATATTTATCTAGCTCAGGCATTGCTTGAAGAGCCTCACATTTTTTAATTCATTTAACCCTCACAATGCTGCAGAATGGAGGATGAGTATTACAGCTACCCTTTTTTATAGAGAGGAATCTGAGCACAGAGACTAAGTACCTTACCTAAGGTCACACAGCTGGGGTGGGATCTGAGTCCAAACACTCTGGCTTTTGTGCCCAAGCTCCCTCAACTCCTTTGTGACAGTGTCCTGGAAAGCAGATTATAAATCCAGCCCCGAGCACAACCTCTCACATGGCAGTGGGGGCCTCAAGGTCTCAATCCCTCTCCCTGGCACTTGCAGCTTGCCTCCTTTCCAGCCCCATCCTCCCTTCACACTCAGCCCTGCTGCGAAAGAAAAAAAAAAAAAACAGTGGGTAAACTATATCTTACTTGTTCATCTATTTAGTTTAGAACTGAACCCAGCAAAGATTCAACTTTTTTCTCTTCTTGGCATAAACTAGATTGTGAGCCTTGTAAGATCACTTCCCTCCGGTATACTCTACCAACAGCATTTAGAGATTAGCATGTGGTGAGGAACAAAAATGTTCCTTGAGTAAATGAACGAAACAATCCTTAATAGACTCAGACAAATTAATAACGCTACTGGAACTAGACGAAAATGTTCTTTAATACCTTCATCACATGTATACTCAATGCTAACTATGCAGCGACCACTGTTCTAATTGCTGAGGCTACAGCTGTAAACAAGAGACAATTCTAGAAAAGGGAGGCAGGGACACTAGAAGCAAAGTAAATAAAAAATACATAGACTGGCAGATGATAATTTGGTGATATTACCCTAATCTGTCATTCAAGGTCCCAAAGACGAGCAATTTATATACCATGCTGTGTATGGTATGTAGATGTAGAGACAGGGGGCAGTCTGCTGTGGTTAAAAGCTTGGAAGCACTGACATGAAAGCAGAAGACACTGCTCAAGAGCAGAAGCAAGGATGCTTACTGGAGGCTCTACCACCCATTTCTGGAAGACAAGACCATATTCTGGCCGGCTCTGTATCCGCAGGCAGTGCCCCACACAGGACAGGGACTGAATGAGCTCTTCACGACAGTGTAGGGCATCTGGGACCACGGGGGAAGGAGAATGCTAAGCTCCACATACATCACTGCTCTGCCACTGTGCTGTATGAGGAAGGGGGAAGGTGGGCCCTCCTTCCCCAAAAGGAGGTTCTTCTTTGGCAGGTAACTCATCTTGGATTTTCAAAGCATAGAAGATGATAAATACCTTGTCTTTGAAAGAGAGGGGAAACAGACATAAATATCTTTACTCAAGATGCCAAAAACAACAGGGTTCACTTGAAACCCAAAGGGGACAGAACTGGGTTGAAAAGAAGTGCAATGGGAGACACCCAGAAGGCCACTGAGCACTTAATGGGAATCATCTTTCACCTCCCCACAAACCTCACAGATATCGTAAGACTGCTGATTCTTAACCCCAGCAGCTCAACTGCCCAAGGCCTAGAAAAAGAGCAACACACAGTTTACCCTTTATTATTCTGATAGAAATTTTTCTCCTGGGAAGGAGTCGAAAGTCCAACACCAAAAATATGTATGTTTGTAAGTCATGAGCAAAGAAGCATTACACCAGTTATTAAAACAAAAATATTGACAGTGAAGAGAGCTGAGTAGGAGGTGTTAGAAAACTCACTCCACTAATTTATTCACTGGGAACCAAAAAGGACTTTCCCAAGAACAGCAAAAACAGCATTAATTTCCCCAGTACCCTCCTTTTAAAGAGCTTCGAACACTTCACATATATCCCTTTAAAGTATTCTCAAAGGCTCAAAATAAGGGCTTGCCGTCTCCCCAGGTACACATGGAGAAGCCAGAGCAGGCATGGCGAGCCTGCTTTGCCCTGCTCTGTTGGGCTGGGCCAGTGATAAGCTGCATGCCTGCTGCGTGCCTGACCTAGCCCAGGTTGATCAGGAGATAAAAAGATAAAAGGCAAGATCTCTGGCCTGCAGAAAACCAGAGTCCAGTCAGGCATGAAAAATACGTAGATACAGATGTAGGTACAGATACCTCCTTTATGCTTATGTGACTGACGTGCTACTGAAAAAGTCCACGTACGGGCTCTAAGAGCTCCTATTTATCAGTGCCCAATATGTGCCAAGTCATATTGCTGTGATGTAGAGGAAGAAATGGAGGCAGAAAGAAGTAAAGACATTTGCCCAGAACCTCAAGGCCACACTGTGGCAGAGGTAGGATAAGAACCCAGGTCTGTATGTCTAAAGAGTCCGTGTGAGAGGAAATGACTGCTTTTTAAACTGGAGCTGGTCTCTGGACTTCCTAACATTGAATGCCCGTATCTTAGCGGCAGATAAGAAAAACTCAGAGTCTTCACTAGGTAGATTTAGGGGGAGAATGGCCTGTTTCCCAGGCCCAGAATTGTGTATACATGTACTAATCTGGATCCACCACAGGGACAAATCCTGCAGGTTAAGAAGCACAAGGCAGGTGTATCTTCCAAAATACAACAGAGCTCTGTCTGGGCAAAGAAGAGCTGAAAGTCCTGAGTCCTTCTTGTTCCTTTGGTGGGCACTGAAAATGGATCAGCACTTGAGGGTACAGGACCCTCTCTGGCTTTAACAGAAGTTGCTCAGCCTGCAAGGGCAGGCATGGTGGCCACTGTGTAAATGCAGGACCATGCCTTTGCTCGGAGCCAAAGTCCTGCAGGGGAAGGAGCCCTCTGCTGGAGATCCCTGAAGAAGGGCACAACCTGGTGACAAGGCCGCAAAACTCACCTCATGGTGGTAAGCTCTGCCTATTTTGCCAAAGCTCCATTTTGAAGGCTAAGGAAAAAAGTGTGAGACAGAGGAAGGGGAGCTTAGGGGGCAGCAGGCCACAGTCCTCAGGTCAGACGGGATACAGTGAACAGGGCCAGCTGTGGGGAATGCCTGGGTCTTAGCAAGGGCCAGGTTAATAAAAAGCTCTATTTTAAGCCCACAGGATCTCAGATGGGGAAAGAACTTCAGGAGCAAAGCTGAGCCTAGAACTAAGGAAGCCTGATTCCCCGCCTAATATTCTTCCTGTTTAACTTACGGCATCCTTCTGTAATTGTCCATCAATCTTCATTTCAACCTAGTAACAACGAAAACCCTTGAATGAATCAGCTACTAATTATTTCCTTTTAGATAAACGATTTGTGTTTCTATCAACCGAGAGGTTAGTTCATTCCTTTGCTCACTCGCTATTATTTATATTCTATCTACTTCCAAAAAAAGTTCGAATTGACTTAAAATAAAAAGTATATGTTATGGTATTCCCAGCACTTGGGAGGCTGAGGCAGGAGGATCGTTGTGAGTTCGAGGCCAGCCTGGGCTACAAAGTGAGCTCAAGGCCAGCCTGAACTGCATAGCGAGACCCTGTCTCAAAAAAGACCAAAAAGAAAAAAGTATACGTTATGGCCAAAAGAGCAAAGGTTTTGAAATCAGTCAGGCCTGGCCTTGTGATTTACTATAGTGGCCACAGGCAAGTGCTTTAACTTTTCTGCCTCACCGCATTCAGCTATGTCAGTGCAATTTGCAGAGACAAACTGAGATGATGTCTGCAAAACACCTGGCCCAGAGCTTGGCTCAGATATAGGATGCATCTCAAAACAAAAGTCAGAGGAAAGAGTTAAACAATAAAGTGTGTGTGACAGAGAAAGGGGAAAATGAATAATTCTATCAAAAGAGCTAAATAAGGAAGCTCTGTACTTTCTGGCAGTCATGGCAAAAAAGAAAGCAGGATTGTTACACTATTCTCCCTGTCTGGTGAAGGAAAGCATGGAAGTTCATCAGGACAGCGAAAGTTCTTAATTCTCAACGCAGAGAGGTGCACATACCCAAAGTGAACGTATATGTCGGTACACACACCCGCACTCCAATGCATGCATACACACTCGTACCATCTTTTTCCAAAAGGAGAAAGCAGTCAGCTTTCCAGAGCCCTGTGGCTCCACTGGCACCACCCCTCTGCTGCCTACAATGAGGTGCTGCAAGAGTTAAAACATTTTTGTGCCAATATTTTAAGAGTGCAGAAGGTTCCAAATTACATGTAAAATAAACAATGCCAGACTGTGAAAACTCTTGGCTGCAATGTCCTCTGATGTTAACAAGAGTTTCTTTATTACTGTAACCTTTCAGAAGTGAGTAAAAATTATTTCTCTGCCCTAGTTTTGCCCTCCAGTAAAAGGGAAGAGAACAGTGACCATGGAAAGAGCTGTACAATGACTCCTCATGAAGGCTGGGGGGCTGGGAAGGGGCGGTTGAAAACACAAAGCCTTCCATATACGTTTCTAGTCAAACGTTAGAAATTTAATTTGAGCTGTGCTGATCATATGGTAAAATTTTACACTCTGAATACTTGTATTTTATGTAGCTAAAATTCTTACAGGGACAAGATGGCGTTTGCGAGATGCCCAATGGAGCCAGCGCTATGGAGAAAACCCAAATCTTGACCGAGTCTCCTCAACTGTTCAGTGAACACCTCACTCAGAAATCTGAGTGTGAAACACCCTTAAAAGACAGGAAAAGAATGAGGCAAGAGAACTGCAAGTTCAAGGCCAATCTGGGCAACTTAGGAAGACAATGTCTCAAAATAAAAAAAAAAAAAAAAATAAAGCCAAAAGAAGTCCTCTCCCTTCTCAAAACACTCTGACTTTATCCACAACAGACCTTCGCCCAGAATGCTCCTCTCCTCTAGTAAACACCCAGAAAGATGCAAATCAGGTGTCGTCCACCCTGAGCTCTGCCCTGAGCTGTCTTAGCAACTTCAAAACACGGAAATTTCTTACACTGTAATCGTCTGTTTATACGCCTGTCTTCTCCTCCTAGTCTAGGGAGTTAAGGACAATGTCTCAGTCATTCTTCTATCTTCAGTGCTTAGCACGGTACTGGGAAGCTAGCAGGCCACAATAAAATGGATGGATAGATGGGTAAAACTTTGTTTGTGTCTGGGAACAGAAATCAGACAGAGAATGATGAACTGCTAAAAAAACAGAACACAAGCTCTGGGATTTAACACAAGGCTAGCTTTTCAGACTTTCACAGAGTTGCTGAATGTTAAGTCTGGAAGAGAATGTAGAAATCATCTAACTCACCTCCCCAGAGAGGTGAGGTGATCTGACTTACTCAAGCTCACCCAGAAAGTGGCCAGGCTGGCCAGAACTCCTCCATTACACCGCATGGTCCCTCCTTACTACTGTCTGCAATGGTGTGTATACATGTTTATTTGGTGGCAGGACGAGAATGTGATTAGAACTATGTACTGTGAGCATGCTATTTCATAATGAACAAAATGGAGGGATATAATGCTGGGAATTCAAATTACTTGATAAAAGATATACTATGAGAGCATCTCATACATTAACATGAGTAATATACAGTCACCACAGGACCCAGCAATACCCAAGAGATCTGAAAACGTATGATCAGACAAAAACTGTGACTGAAATATGCACAATAGCATTATTCACAAAAGACAAAAAGCGGCAACAACCCAAATGTCAATACCTAACAAAATGTGGTGTATTCATAGAAAAGACCATCAGTAAAAAGGAATGAAATATTGAAACATGCTATAATATGAATAAACCTTGAAAACAATATGCTAAGGAAAAGGAGACAAAGTAAAAGGCTGCATATGCATGTTGCACTTATATGAGATGCTCAGAGTAGGTAAATGCACAGATAGGAAGGAAAGTAGTGCTCAGTAGGGGCCAGGGAAAGAGACACTGAGGAGTGCCTCCTAAATGGCACAAGGGCTCTTTCTAAGGTGATGAAAATGTTCTGGAGTTAGACAGTGGTGGCGGGGCATCACACTGTAAATTTAATAAAAAGTACATTTTAAATGAATATTATATGAATTATATCTTCATTTAATTTTTTTGTTTGTTTTTCTGAGACAGGGTCTCACTATGCAGTTCAGGCTGGCCTTGAGCTCACTTTGTAATCCAGGCTGACCTTGAACTTGCAACAATCCTCCTGCTTCAGCCTCCTGAATGCTGGGATTACACACGTGTACTACCATGCCCAGCTTCATTTACTTTTTTTATTTTTAATTTTTTTAAATTTTTTTTTTGAGAAATCGAACTCATGACCTCAGGCTTGCCAGGCAAACACTTACACCACTGAGCTATATTCCTGGTCCCCAGCTTCATTTAATATTTCTGTATTATAATGTTTATAACATATATGTATACAATGTAAGATAATAAATATAATATATTGATTTTCTAGGAGCTAAGAATCTAACTGAAGAAGCCAGGACCAGCAAACTGAGAGGCTTAAGGACCAACAGGTTCAGTGCTCTGTGATATATAGTTATTATAGAAATAAAAGAAGACAGTAACACTTGTTAATCTTGATTCTAACACTAGAGCTATAGTTTTGGTTTGTTTGCTTGTGTGTGTATGTCTGTGTGTCTGTATGTCTGTATCTATTCATTTATTTATTCTTTCATTCTTTCATTTGAGACAGGGTCTTGCTATGTAGTTCAGGCTGGCCTTGAACTCACTATGTAGCCCAGGCTGGTCTCCCTTGCAGCAATCCTCCTGCTTCAGCCTCTGAGTGCTGGGATTACAGGCATGCCCCACCACACCCAGTTTAGAGCCACAGTTTTAGTAATGACCTTTTCAGGTAGCACATACTAGTCAAGAGTAAGAACTAGAGTCTGGAGTCTAGAAGGCTTGTGTTCCTTCCAGGCTGCCATATTTACTCTGTAACCCTGCGTCAGTTATCCAGCCATGGTAGGCTAAAATGAATAATGGTGTCCCAAAAGATACCCATATCCTAATTCCTGGAATCTGTAACTATTACTTTTATATGGCAAAAAAGGACTTTGCAGCTTTGATTAAATTAAGACTTTTTTTTTTTTTTTTTGGTTTTTTTTGAGACAGGGTTTTGCTATGCAGTTTAGGCTTGCCTTGAATTTACTTTGGAGCCCAGGCTGGCCTTGAACTCACAGGGATCTTCCTGCCTCTGCTTCACGAGTGCTGGGATTCAAGGGTGTGCACTTGTCTGGCCTAAATTAAGACTCTTCAGATAGAGAGATTAGCTTTAATTTTCTGGGTGGGCCATAAATTCCATCACATATATCCTTAGCAGACACAGAGGTAGAGGAAGATGTGACCAAGACAAAGGAAACCATGGAGACAGAGATTGCAGTGATGCAGCCACAAGTCAAGGAATGTCAGCAGCCACCATAAACTAGGAGGAAGGAACAGATTCTCTCCAGGAGCACACCCCTGCCAACACCTAATTTTGGCCCAGTAAAAGTGATTTTGGCTCCAAAATTATGAGAGAATAAATTTCTGTTGTTTTAAGCCAATAAATTTGTTACAGCTATATAGGAAATTAGCATACTAATCTCTCTGAGCCTTAATTTCCTCAACTGTAAAGTGGGGTTAGATACACTGTATCTCGTAGGTAAGACTGTTGTAAGATGTGAAGTTGAAATAGTGCTTGTAAAGTGCATGACAAAGACAGAAGACTCAGTAAATGTTAGTTAATACTACTGGGGAGCTCTGTTCTGTATTAGGCTGACATTCTCAACTTTCCCATGGCATTAGCGCATGTGCACACCCTGTTCCTCCTACACGGAGAGCTGTAAGAACTGGCAATCAGAAGAAATGAGTCTCCTCATCCGTGGGCTTCTAACTTAAACGCAGCTCTCCCAGTTTCTCTATTAGTTAAAAGAAAAAGTCAGATTACAAGAAGTGATACTTCTCAGACTGAGAGTCTCTTACAAAAATACTATTGAGTCTCACCTCCGAAGTTTCTGACTCAGCAGATCCAGGGTTCGACCCTGGAACTTGCACTCTTAACCAATTCCCAAATGGCACTGAAGTGGGACCATCATGTGAGACTCCCTGGACCATTACTGCACAATGCCTTTCCAGTTTTAAGTCTCAGATCCCCCAACACACGTAGCACGAAAGTAACAAATACTGCCATACTGTGTTAAAATAGCCTCGAGACTTCTTTTCCTAAAGCAGAGTGGGAGGGATGGAGGGTTACTACAGGGTATGTGGCAAAGACTAGTTTTAACTTTTGAACTAAGTAGAATGAGAAACCTGAAGCAATGGTGGGAACAGGAAGAGGCTGTTCCCTTATCCAACATGCTGGCCCCATTTTAATTTATCTTAATCCCACCTTTCGTACTTTCCACAGGCCGCCTCCCCCTCGTGCCCTTCTCTAGAAACACATCTAGGTGTCTCCTGAATTCATTTATTGGCATGGCCCTGCACTATATAATGCTGCCTTTGTTAGTCTCCTGGCCCAGCCCCTCCGTGCCGGTGTTCAGTCTCGGTGTTCCTCCACTCTTAAAAAAACACAACCAAAGAGTCTCTGAAAAATAATTGTAAAACCAACGAAGGCAAATTCAGATGATGTGGAGACATTCAGACTTTAAATGCTGGAAAAAGCAATAAATTCAGAACATTGTTAGCATTCTCATCTGTCCTTTTTCTCCTCTTAGTCTCTATTAGTCCTGATGAATAGGAAACCCCTGCCATATTAGATTAGAAATTCCAACTAAGGGAAGCCTCACACCTGGGACTGGACTACACAAAAGGAAGGCCCCCGGATTCAAGAAAAGCTGTCCTCTTGGCCCTTGCTAACAGGAAAGAGGACTGAATTTTGGGATGGCATCGTGGAGGACTTGGAATTCGCATGCTAAACTGTAGTCCACATCCTGCTGCTTTCTAGCTGTATGACCTGGGGCAAACCAATGAGCTTCCTTAGGCACCACTTCTTTACCACAGAAATAACAATGGGACCGGACTTGTGCAACAGAAGTCTTCCATGGGGTATATTTCAAAATGCACATACCTGCAAGATCTTTCCATTGATTGAGAATCCCAAAGTTAAAGAATCCCTAAAGCCACCAGGAAATGGTGGTGCATATCTGTAATCCCAGCACTCTGTGAGGCTGAGGCAGGAAGATAAATTCAAGTCCAGTCTGGACAACTTAGCAAGACCCTGTCTCAAGAAGAAAACAAAATTAAAAAGGGGTAGAAATGTAGTTCAATGTGAAGGGCATATACTCAACCACCAGTACTAGGAGAATATATACATACATATATAAAGGCTCCCAATTTAACGTTCTAAGGCTCGAAAGTACCAATAAAGGACAAGGGAATCCATGTGGCAGGGCTAAACTGGGCGTGGTGGCGCATGCCTGTAATCCCAGCACTCGGGAGGCTGAGGCAGGAGGATCGTTGCAAGTTCAAGACCAGCCTGGGCTACAAAGTAAGCTCACAGCTGGCCTGAACTGCACAGTGAGACCTTGTGTCAAAAAGACAAAAAACAAAAACAAAAACAAAAAACAAAACAAAACAAAAAAAAACCCCAGAAGCCATGAGGCAGGGCAGGGAGAGAAAAATAAAATTTTTTGTGGGGAGAAAGGGCCAGAGAAATTAAATCCAGGTATGATCAGAGAACAAGAATTCCTGTAGTGATTACTTTAGGCACACTGTGTAAAACACCAAAGATCCCAGGACCCTTATCCCAGCCAGTGCAAATGACCCACATTAACCAATAACTACAGCACACCGTGCTAAGTTCTATCTCAGAAGTTTGCACACACGATGCAGCAGTACAGAGGTGCAACGGCCAAATATACTAACATTACATGTAAGCGCTGGGAAGAGTATCTTGGAGTAGTACTATCCAGTTGTGTTGTACAGTACCATGAGCAGAGGAGACCCACTTAGCCAGAGGGAACAGCATAAACAAAGGTCTAGAAGCATAAAAGAACACAGCACACCAAGACATACCCAGCCCTAGTACACGAGTAGAACATGGCATGAGTAGAACATGTGTTTGTGTGTGCGTGCAGACATTTTTTTCAGGGTGTAGGGGGGGGCAGTAATAGTTTGTTGATTAGACTAGAAAGGTGGCCTACAGCAAGGGTGTAGCTACTTTTGCCCTCCAGTTTTTTAAAAAAGATGTAATAATAATATAACTAAAATTTGTTTAACCTTTAGACTCGCAAGTGTTAATACAATATTTTGTGATATTCACTTTATCACTGTATGTCCACACATTCCTTTCTTCTTTGCGAAACCATTTGAAACTGCAGGCATCAAAACTTTGTACCTCTAAATACTTCAGCGTGCATCTTCTAAGAACACACACATTCTATATATCTATAAAGGGTTCTGTACACATTGCCGTGAAGTTTAAATAGGTCCAATATGTGATGAGAATCCTCAAAGGTTTCTAACATAAGAGGAACATGTTCAGATGTGGGATTTAGAAAATCTCTGGCAGCTATCTAGCTCCCTGGAGTAAGAACAGCTCACAGTTACTTCAGAAACTACTCATACTAAAGGACAGATGATGATTAAAACGGCCATGGAACAGAGGCGAGGATAAACCCTGGAAATACACTGGATGCAGATAAGGGGCGGCTTCACTTCAGGGACAGTAGGAATACAAAGCAAGGTAGGGAATGGCTCTAGCAATTCCAGCTTCTGGGGCCTGGACCGATGGTGATGACACCAGAAGTGAGACAGGAAGAGATTCATGGAACTATCTGTCTCCTGCCTCCTGAGAAGCAAGAGTGACCCTTGAAAGGCAAGTTGGAAAATGGCTTTGGCGGTGTCCGTTCTCCTACGCAGTCAACTGTAAGTTTTGCTGTGGCTACAGAAAAAAAGGTGTCAAATGCAACAGAGCAGCCATAGACCACAGAGGCAAAAGAAATGGAGGGTTTGAAGAGATTCCCTATTCTGGAAGGATGAACTGAACTGGAGCATTTGGTAGGAGGGGTACTTAAGGCAGGACATTATGGAAAGGCAAGACAGTAAGTATGCCTGAGACAGCCAAGGCTTTGAAAAATGGAATCCTAAATT